TGCACCCACCTTATAGTGGCCCCATCTAAGTTGTATTTGCCTAGTTTATTGATAAGAATATCATGCGAGACCGTATCAAACGCCTTTCTAAAGTCTAGGTATACCACATCCACTGCTTCTCCCTTATCCACAAGACTCGTTATCCTATTAAAGAAAGCTATCAGATTGGTTTGACATGATTTGTTCTTTACAAATCCATGCTGGCTGTTCCCTATCACCTTGCCACTTTCCAAGTGTTTACAGATGATTTCCTTAATAACTTGCTCCATTATCTTCCCTGGCACAGAAGTTAAACTAACTGGTCTGTAGTTTCCTGGATTGTTCTTATTTCCCTTTTTATAGACGGGCACTATATTTGCCCTTTTCCAGTCCTCTGGAATCTCTCCTGTCTCCCATGATTTTCCAAAGATGATAGCTAGAGGCTCTGATACCTCCTCTATCAGCTCCTTGAGTATTCTAGGATGCATTTCATCAGGCCCTGATGACTTGCAGGCATCTAACTTTTCTAGGTGATTTTTAACTTGTTCTTTTTTTAATTTTACCTTCTAAAATTACCCCCTTTCCACTAGCATTCACTATGTTAGGCATTCCTTCAGACTTCTCAGTGAAGACCGAAACAAAGAAGTCATTGAGCATCTCTGCCATTTCCAAGTGTTATCATGTTAGTAAGTTCCCTCATATAGTCAAATCTTAAACATTTATTATTAATATAGCTCTGCCACACAGGCTCGGGTCCTCTACATCAGCTGTGTAGTTTATCTGTTTATCTGTGTAGTTTATCTGTGTAGTTTATCTGTTGTCTATGGATTTGGGAGGGGGAGTGAGTTTTAAGGAGAGTTCTGAATGAGGTCAGTTAAGCTGTTTGGCAAAGGAGAGAGAAAGGGATGGTTCCAAGCATAAGGGACAGCACGAAGATGACACTGGAAGAAAGATGGAGACTTCTGTGAGGGAGGCTTGATGGCAGAACGGGAGGAGAACACAAGCGGGATGCAATGGGTATGAGAAGAACCTTTGAGATGAGCACAAGAACCTTGAATGTGTAGGTTAGAGGCAGGCAGGGAAGGGAGTGAAATGGCCAAAGTACTGGGGAGAGGAAGAGAATTGTAGGCAACAGCAGCATTTTGTAGTGAGGCGGGAGAGTGGCAGGATGAGATGCACGGATGAACAGAGAGGTTACATACCTTGTACCCTAGAATGAGAATGAGCCAGAGTTCAGAGTAGAGAGATGTGCAGAACTGCATCCTACTCACTGAACACGTCATGCCTTTGTCCGTCACCTAGGAGGCAACCAGAACACAGAAATAAAGGCTGCTGCTCTTGCCCATAGAGATGGACAAACAGACAAGACAATACATGGCTTAGGGGGTGTCTACGCACAATTGTGGAAGTGGAAAAGTGAAAGCTTGTCTGAACATTGGGAATGTGCTGCCGAGAAGAAGGAAAGAATGAAATTTGGTATTCACCAGCCAACATATTCATTAAGCCTGAGTTTTCAAATTTTTCTGCCCCTTGCCACAGAATCTGCAGTATCCCATGATGGAGAGCTGCAAAGCTCGTGCTCCCAGCAGAGTAGCCAGGGTACTCGTTAGAAATTATAGGGTCAGCAAATCAGCACGCCTGCTCCCCCAGTCCAGCGTCAGGCATGTTTGGCTGGAACTATGCTTACCACACTCCAGAACTTGAAGGAAGCTTAGCTCCAAGCTTGGTAGTTGAGGAACTGCTCTGTAACAGTGTTTCTCAACCTTTTTTTTTATAAAGTACTCCTTTTTCAAATAAAAAAAAAATATATATATATATAAGTACCCCCAGTACCTACAGTTTTCAGACACACACAAAATTTTTCTACCATTGCAACACATTTGTTTAAACAACTTAATTGTAGCTGGGCAGGCAATGAAATGTTTGGGTGTAAAAAGTAGAAAAATAATAAAGTGCTTGAAACTGAAAACAAAAATTCTGTTTTCTCCAAATTTCAGTTGTTGACATACTCCTCCCCCCCCAGACTTCTCTTGAGTACCCCAAGGGTACTCGTACCACTGGTTGAGAAACACTGATCTAGATACAGTAAAAGCTCCATCCTACAGAGCTCTGTTGGGCTGAATCATAGCATGACAGGCACAAAGGTGCAGCTTTCAGCCTCCTGATATTGTCCTCTTACCCTCAAGGATGTGCTGAGGCTTCGGAAGCACTGAACTGGATCAGAGAAAATCCATGTTACAAGCAGCATGGTATCCACCAGCGCCAGCACCACAACCATCACCAGCAGCTGGAAATCTTTGATAATCTGCAACACACAGAAGGTCAGTGCTATGGTTCAGGAATGAGCTGAACCTCTAACATCTCTCTGTCTGTCTGTCTCTCTGGGGCAATTACAAAGGGCAGGTCTTCCCTGAGAGTGGAATCCCACAACACACTCCACTGATTTAAACTGGACCATTTCTGACAGTGCCTCCTGTTTCTCAACCATATTACGTGCAGCAGGTCCATTTTGATGTTGCCCCTGCTCTAGAAGCCTCTCTGGCAGCGGTGACCAACTGGTAAATAGAATGGCAGAGAACAGCTTGTTCACAACAGGGTCTGGCTTCTTTATCCATAGGAACATCACAAGCCGAGAAAAAAAAAAGTAACAAATAACAAAAGCCTATAGATGCGTATGGACTTATCCAAGCTTGGCCTTCCCTGCAAGTTTAGGTAGGGCCCCCCACTTACCTTGGTGCCTCACCATCTGGGGATCATGTTTCAGTCTGTCTCTCTGCACAGCCTTTCCTTTCCTCTAAAGTTCAGTTTTTTAACTACTTCAAATTTTATTGTTTGACCGTCTCCCCTTTCCTCTAAAGTTCAGGTTTTTAACTACTTCAAATTTTATTGTTTGAAAGTTCCCGCCTCAGAATGCAGAACTTAGCCAAATCTCAGTTTGTGGAGGTGAACATCAAAGGCGTTATCTCCTCCCTTGGATGTCCAAGTACGGCTGTCTACTCTTTGGTACTGGCAGTCCAAAGTTAGCTCAAACTGATTTAACACTCTGGTTCCCCGTCAGTTAGCAACAAACTAACCCCCAAGTCCACACAGATCTATAGGTAACATTCAGAGAAGTCAATACAGGTAACTCCCTCTTTCTTCAGCGTTGGCATGTCCCTTCTTCTGTGCTGCACAGAGCTCTTCAGCACACTCCCTCTGCAGAAAGAGGCTCTGCTCCAGCCCTCCTTGAAGTGGCTGAACCAGGAGAGAGGGGTCAGGAATACTTGCTGACATTTGTTTCACTTGTTTGTATATTACAAATAGCCTAAAAAACCCCAGCCATGGCTCTCAGGTCCAAACAGCTCCAAACTACAGGTATGACTGGAGATCCAAACACAGAACCAAATCCTCTCTCTCTTTAAGGAGCAGATCCAAATCCCTGAATCCGACTCTTTCTCTACCCTCCCCAACAATTAGAATTGTTCCCAAGCCAGACCTCAGTTCTGCATGCACCCTCATTAATACAAAGTCTAGGAACAAGGTCCAGTTGTCTGAGCTTATGGCCTCCCCCGAATGGTGCTGGAAACTAAGGGCCAGGCAACCAACCCAGACACTGGGCTCTAACAGTGACATGCCCAGGGCTCAGAAGTTGATTTGTGGCCTCGTATCTTTTCCCAGAGACTGAACTCTAGAAAAGACACTTGACTTACCCCCGTGCCCCCAGAGGATACATCCCCAATGCCCTGCAATAAGGCTGCTTGAGGAATTCAGTTACAAAGAAACTTCAGTCACGGGTGGCTAATGCCAGGTGCCCCAGAGGGAGTGAACCGAACAGGTAGCTGTGACAGGGTGAGTCAACCCCGCCACTATCCCCAACAAGGGGGCAGGGGCGCTGCGGAAGCACACGCGGGCACGGCCCGGGCAGCGGCGAGGCAGACGCTGCCAGACGTTGACGGGGAAGGGGCAGGCCGGCAAGGCGTGGAACCACGTGGGTGGAAGCGGCAGGGGTTTGTCGGCAGCCCCCGGGACCGGCCGCTGGGGAGGGCATCACCGGCGCAGCGGGCGTCAGGGGGGAGAGGTCACCCATGGAGGGAGAGAGGGACGAGTGGAATAAAAACGGGATGGGGAGGCACAAGGGGAGGCAGGTGAACGCGGAGGAGGTACAGGGTCGAGGGTGATGGAGGGGCAGTGAGGGCTGCTCCGAGGAAGGGGGGGGAAGCCCAGTGGCAGGGTTGAGTGTTGGCCCAGGGTAGGGTCATGGAGCCCGAGAGTGGGCGCGTTTAGGGGTACGCTCAGTTTAGAGGAGCTCAGTTCCCAGTGTCAGGGCCCTGGGCCGGGGTCTGTGAGAGAGGGTGGGCCCGGACCCCATCCCTGTCACCGACAGGCGTTTGTTTGGGGCATATCTGGAGAAGGCCAAGGCCCGCCCTTGGGGCAGGGCACACTATACGATGTAACTTAACCAGGTGTGGGACTCGAATAAAGTGGACCCGTGACAGTAACGATCAAGCGATCTCTCTCCTGCCATCCATCTCCACCCTCTGACAAACAGAGGCTAGGGACACCATTCCTTACCCATACCGGCTAATAGCCATTGATGGACTTAACCTCAATTTTCTTCTCTCTTAAAACTCCTGTGTGAATTTAGGGCAGGTAAAAGGAGCCAGCCCAACACTCCTGGAGACTGACCAGCTCTGTTTGTCCCCTGGATGAGCTGAAAGCAGCGGCACAGCAAACTTCCCTCATTCAATGCTTCCCTACAAGCGGCCTCCCTGGCATGAAAAAGGAGTTTTGTCTCCATGGACTGACTGTGAAGACTACCAACAAGAGGACCAAATAATGACAATCCTGCAGGTGGGTTTGCTCATGGGGACAGCGTAAGAATCAGTCCACTCATTTCACAAAGAGACCCATGGTTATCACCAGATGGTCACAAGCCAGCTGGCAGGGGCGCAAATGTTCTAAATCAGTCAAGCATCTAAGCTCTCTCTGGCCTACCGGCCGGAGTCTCCCCTGCCTCGCTGCTCCCATCATTTCCACCATTCTGATCTTGCAGCGATTTACCCCTGCCTTTTACAGGTGCCAATGGCTGCGGCAGTGGGGAATGAGGCCCCGTCTAGCTCGGTTTTACACCGTGCCTGTAACCCTGGCGCTTGAGGCTCTGTAATCCACTGCTGATCCTGTGTGTCCTCCTCACATTCCCTATTCTCTCCCATTTCAAGCCCATTCACATTCTGGGACCTTGTAGAGTCTGGGCTTTTTTTTGCCAAGTGTTCCCCATTGCTTCTCAGCGCAGGCCACGTAGAAAGCCACAATCCCTCCCCATGAGGCGCTTCTGTGTTCCAGTGCCTGGGGCACGTGCTGGGAGTACTCACCACCCTCTTCTCCGGCCCCCGCTGCGTGAACACTTTGTACAGCCGCCAGCTTTTCCCTAGGATGGGCCCTAGGACCAGGGAGCTCCCAACACACAGCAAGCAGAGTCTCACCTGCAGGCATGAGGCAGAGCGTGAGCAGTGGGGGCTTGGGGAGCCCTGTTACCAGGCAATGAAACTCGGCAGAGCTACAAGCAGCCCTTTCCCTGCTGGGGTCCCGCATGGCTCTCATGGGAGCTCGGTCCCCTTCCCTGGCCAAAGGGTGCTCCAAACACCCACAGAAAGGAAAGGAAACTAGTAAACAGGGACCCATGTCTGCCAGCCAGCCCATGCCTGAAAACTCTGGGCTAAGGAACTCCAGTCAAACCCAACACTGGAGGCCTCCTGATCAGGACACCCTGCCAGGCTCTTGGTACAGTTCAAAAGCAAAAGCCCTGAAGGGAGCATGGGGCCAGTGGGGGACTGGCCCCCTGCTCCCTGTAGCGCCTCAGCCTTTGAAATTTTCAAGCGTCCCAGCAAGGCTCTTGTACATTTCAAAAGCTTTCAAGCATCCCAGCAAGGCTCTTGTACATTTCAAAAGCAGAATCGCAGCAGAAGCGGCGCGAGCGGAGACTGATTCAGTCCCAGCTCGGGCCGTTCTCGCTGCGCCTTTACCTCCCTGTCCCCCGAAGAGACGGTGCTGGCCATTGTTGCCTCTCTCTGATAGAGGCAGCAAGGGGGGGGAAGCAACTAGTTGCGTCACTAGTCGACTAGTTGCTTACATCCCTACTTATGACCTGTGAGCATGCATGTCTGAGGCAGAATGAACCAGCGCAGGCTGCAGGGATACAATCCCTTGCTCTTCCGCCAGCCGGTGGAGGAATGGAAGGGTACTGTGAAAGGAACAACTCAGACCAAAGCAGCAGGAAAGTGCCTGAAACTTGAGCATGAATAAAGCAGTGGCTGACACCTCAACTAATTAACAACATCCAGGTGGCTTAACATGTACTCCCTACCTCTTACTCTCTCCAGCGTTTGCCTCCTCAGCCCTGCAAATCTGCAGATATTCGCTTTATTCCCACAGATATCTGCATTCATGGATGCGGATGCGGATAGCTACACCTCATTTTTGCAGTTTCAGGTGCGGACACAAAATTTTGTCTCCACGCAGAACTCTAGGAATGTTTTTTCTGCAGTGTTCCCATCTCTGTCTCCACCTCCACCCCTCGTTTGCTCTGCACACACTCCTTGGCTGGTAGGGGAGATACATGGGTCAGAAATCAGGAATGAGTAGTTTTTATGGAGACTTCCAAATGATATTTGTGCCTGAGATATAGTGCCTGTTGTCTTGCTGACCATGGACCCTGTGCTATCTGTCAACTAACTGCTATGAGTTTTGTTCATGCCTTCTGTACTGCTCCTTTAACATTTTTCTGGCCTTCCTGCAAGAGCAGCAGCCCCACAAACTGTGCTCTCCCCTGGAGACTTTAGTTGTGTTCTCTCTTGTTTAGTTGTTTTTTCTCAGTCGAAGGGTAAAGGCCATTTCAACTGGACATGTAGTTGTTTTTTCTCAGTCTAAGGGTAAAGGCCATTTCAACTGGACATGTGTAGCGACTCACTGCTGTAAGAACAGCCATGCTCAGCACGATGCCTAAGGCTGCCATGGTGGGGGGACCGTCCCAGTTCATCAGGGGCTGTGTGTACTTTAGAAATCTGTCCCAACAAAGCAAGAACCCCATCAGCTCACCTGATTCGCTTCACTCACCTCAATGAGCATTTCCATTGAGGCTCCAGACAACAAACCCGGCTCTGGAACCCCGAAGAGGTAACCGCTGGTGTAAGTCAAGCCACTGCCCAGCAGTGTCACAATGTTCAGATTGGGGCTGGACATCTTCACAATCCTCCAGGGGACAAAGCAAGTGAGGGGGGGACAGTTAACAAAAGGGGAGCTTACACAACTGGGAGAGACTAGCCTCCCATCCAGCATTGTTACATACAAGCACGAGGCTAGACCCTCCTACCTCACAGCTCATAGCCTCCTACGCACCAGCTAAATTTTGGCGCAAGGAATTCTGCCTTCTATCTGTGGTTGTTACGGGGCTGCTGTTACTCCGGTGTCTGAACACCTCAAAATCTTTCATCTATCCATCCTCAGAACACCCTCTGAGGTAAGGCAGTGACCCTGCCCCCTTTTTATAGAGGGGGAACTGAGGCACAGAGAGATTAAGCAACTTGCCCAAGGACATACACACTAAGTCTTTAGTGGAGCAAAGCATTGAACCTAAATGGTTAATCAGTGAGCATGAAGCTATGCTTACTGGCCCTTGCTGGTAAATTGCAGCAGTGCCAGGCTGGAACAGCCCTGGCTGCAGGAGGGTCAGTGGACCGGGCGGTGGGATTCTGCAGCTAAGGTGAGACCAGTGGCAAGAGCTCACTACCTCAGCTGGACCCCGCAGCTACAGTGGGTTGGGCAGCAGGCCCTACGTTAATCAGTTAACTGGTTAAGCACTCATGTTTACCAGTTGACTGGTTTAACATCCCTAATCCTAGCCTCCTCCCTCCACCCCCAAAGTCCTATGCTAGGACCCTCATCACTTGACAATCCTCTTGAAGGACGGAAATTAGAGATAGATTACAGCTTCCAGTACCTCTCCATGGGCAGGTCAGGACTGTCTTGCTGTACATTCCCTGTACGCTATCCAGCTTCTAATACAGCATTCATCACCATGGCTTCTTAGCATTTCTAGTACTTAGGCCAGTCCACTTTTAAATGTCCTAACTGATGGTATCCCACCCCTTCCTTAGAGGAAAATATTCCACAAAATAATACACCTCATATTCAGAAAGTTTCTTTCAGTACAGATTGAACCTCTCTAGTCTGGCACCATCTGTGGTCCAGCATGATTTTAGTTAGCAGGATGTCCCCTTATTATGGGTGTGGCCAAGTTTTCTGTGGTCCCAGAAAGTTTGTTTACATCCACCAGTCCTGGCCCTCAGTGTTCTGTGCTGTTATTTAGCTCGGTTTTACCCCTAAATGTCTTCTAAGAGCCCAGTAAGCAGTGGAAGGGTTGGTAATGCTTCAAGACAATACTGACCTCTCGTGATCCAGCAAATTCCTTAGTTTGGCACCGGTTAGGTCCTAAAGACACTGGACTAGAAAGGGTCAACCTGTATACAGCCTACAATTCCCCTGCCTTAATTTCATCCCATTACTCTCAGTGTTACACAGGGATCCAACCATAAATAACTTCTCTCCATCCCGTTAATACGTTCGCCTCTTTAGTCTAATCAGACAGATTTTGCTTCTCTGATCTCACTTTGTAACTCAGTCCCTTCCGCCTCTGGATCATTTGGATCGCTCTTCTCTGAACTCTCCCCAGTTTCTAACTATCTTTGAGGAAATGTGGAGCCCAGGATTAAAGGAAAGATTGCAGGTGCTTCCACCCCATTCTCTTCCTCAGATCACCCACTCCAGCGGGGTTTAGGATATTAGCTAAGGCACCTTCTCTAGCTGCACATGGGAGAGTATTACCTCTGCTTTCCTGGGCTTGCTAGTCGCAAATAAATATTGTGCGTTGTTCCAGTTCCATGGTGAGAACATTCTAAGTAATTTTGTAATCAGTGCAGATTGCTGCAGAATTCAGTACTGCTTGCCATAGACTCCCATGCCTGGTGCCTAGCTGGTCTAATACACTGCCTAGTACACAGTGCCCTAGATAAAATGCAAGGGTGCACAGGGATGATCCAAAGGATATAATGTATTTGAACTTTCAGAAAGCTTTCGATAAAGTCCCTCACCAAAGTCTCTTAAGCAAACTAAGGGACAAGAGAGAAGAGCTCTTCTGGATCAGTACCTGGCTAAAAGGGAAAAAAAGAGTAGGAATAAATGATCAGTTATCAGAATGGAGAGAGATAGTGTCCCCCAGAGATCTGTACTGGGACCATAATCAACATAATCATAAATGATCTGGAAAAGGGGGTGAATGTGGCAAAGTTTCCAGATGATACAAACTTACTTAAGATAGTTAAGTCCAAAGTAGACTGTGAAGAATTACAAAGGGATCTCCCAAAACTGGGTGGCAGATGAAATTCAATGTTGATAAATGCAAAGTAAGGCACATTGGAAAACATAATCCCAACTACACCTATAAAATGATGGGGTCTAAATTAGCTGTTTTCACTCAAGCAAGAGATTGTGGGGTCATTGTTGAATCATCCACTCAATATGCAGTGGGCAAACAAGAATACTAATAGAATGCTAGGAACCATTAGGAAAGGGACGAGTAGTAAGGCAGAAAATATAATGCCACTATACAAATCTATGGTGCACCCACACTTTGGATACAACAGGCAGCTCTGGTTGCCCCATCTCCAAAAAGAGAGATTAGAAATGGAAAAGGAACAGAGAAAGGCAACACTAACAATTAGGAGCATGGAATTTTATGTTCTTATGCTTGGAGTGATTGTCAGACTCTGAATCGTCTCTTTCAGCTGCCCTAAGTATTATTAGAGCCCTACATCTCTGTGGCTATACGCCTCACATCCACAGATATTCAGTGTTCTCCCCCACCCAGCCAGGCAGAGGGTGCTAGGGTAGGCCCATGCACTGCTGGCAAGGAAAGGATGCAAGAAGCTGCGTCCTAGATCTCCCTGCAGGAGGGGCCAAATACCAGCCTTGCTGGTGAGCACTCAGCTACAGAGCCCTGGCGTGCTGCCCGCCTCTTCCCTGCCTGACCCAGCCCCGCTCCTTGCTCATCTGTACTCCCTTCCCCCTAGATTTGTTGTACAGATACAAGTAAAATCCAGATCCCAGACTGGATGAGGAGCTGAAACTGGCGAATGCAGATCGGATGCAGACCCATGTTTTTGTATCCATGCAGGGCTCTAAGTATCACCAGTGGAAACCTTAGAGACGGTAGCTGAAGTAAGAGGAGGACCTGAAATATAAGCCCATGTAGCACAGCCCTGGTATGAGGCCTGAGGCCTAGCTAACAATGGTCAAGACACTGATAATATAAAGCAAAGCTAAGCTGGGAGCAAGTGGCAAGCCCCTGCTTTTGGAACTTGGCATGAACAGGGCTGAGAGTGTAAAAATACTAAATGGTAATAGGCCCAGGTGTAGAACAGTCATTGGTACTGGGAATAAGTTGAAAGCACATTCCAGAAGGAGAACACCTCGTTACAAAGGACCGTGGTACCCACATACTCCCCACAGATAACAGGGACATATTGACCCACATTCTGGAAAGGGTCTAAAATGACAGCATGATGGATAGATGCTTTGATCAAATCACCAGGTGCAGGGTGATGGGTGATATCTAGGTAATGTCACGTCAGGAGCGATGTGTAACTTGTTTGTACCTGTATATAAAGTGGTGTGTTGGAGGGGCTGTCTTTGTCCAGCCTAGCTGTTCCATTGTCAGAGGGTACATATGTGTAGTGGTTCAGTAAAGTCTACTGACAACTATCACTGTATGTCATTTGACAGTAAATCTGGCTGGGCACCTTCACTCCTTATCTGCTTTTGTGGTCTTTGGGGGCTCTGTCAGAGTCTGCGGTGTTGACTACTTGCAAAGTCAACAAGCCTCACAGGAGGAGCATACACACACGCAGCCAAATGGTTATCATCACTGATGGAGGAGGTGACCTGTCAGGACACAATAGTGACTTCTAATTGCTACAGTGGTGTGAGCTGTCACTGCAGCCAAAGGAAAAAATAGATGGAGTCCCTTCACTCCTGGACTGCCACACACACCAGTACTTAGGGACATAAGTAATGCAACAGCAGATCAGGTTTATGGTCACCTTGTAGAGTAGCTCATCTCCCCACCCTACTATAAGCAACTCACAGATCATGCTGTTCTGTCTCCATGCTAGATGGGACCTGCATAACTGCCCCTAGTGGTCCAATCCTGTCCCAAAAGGGTAATTCCTTCCTGACCCCCAGCTGATGATGAGTGTATGGTCTGTAGCAGGAAGAATGAAAGCCTTGTTCTCCCAGCTAGTGTGGCAATTCCACAATAGAGGCTGGAAACCAAATGATGCATCTCTCACCTGTTTTTCCTGAAGTGAATTGTGAAGACAAGAAAGAAAAGAGCCAGCAGGACTCCAGCGGTGAGGAAGGTCCACACAAGTCCCAGGAGGGCAGCGGAGGAGGAGGGGAAGGTCTTGCTGCTCTCGTAGGCCGTCTGAGAGAAGGCAAAGGGTGGAGACTGTAGGCATGAAGAGAAATCTTGAGGGTTCTCAGAAGAGAGGTGCCCGTCTCCGGAAAAATGCCACTCTAGCTAGCACCCACTGACGCCTTGTCAGCAGTCTCAGTACCAGTGTCAGAGACTGAACGCGCCATGGAAGCTAAATTCTCATCTCACCCTTAGAAGCAGCCCTCCCAGCACAAGGCACACAGGCAGGCAGATGCGTGTAGGGGAGCTGCCTGCTGCCCTATGGATGCAGACTTCATTCTTCAGGTCTCTCAGTCTGCCACCTTTCACCATCCACTGAACTGATACGCTAGTTTGTGATTAAATACAGTAATGCAGGGAAATCCCATTCACACCTGAACTCACCTCTCATGGCAGAATTCCCCTTAGTGAGTCCTCCACCTCCATGGCCCAGTATTAGAACCTGTATCGATGCCTTGGGCCAATGTGACCAATCTTCCCTACTCTCCACTATCTTTCAGAGGAGTCCAATGTGTCTCAGGAGAAGGGCTTCATGTTCCCTTAGGACTGCTGCAAGAGGGCAAGGCAATGCACCCTCCTGCCCGGCAGGTTGTTGAGAAGCAGGACACACAGCTTGGCATCCAAGAGCAGCCAAGCATTCGCTGGGCTCCTACTGTGCAATCAAGCACGTTCATTTAGTCACAAGCGGTGAGCAGAAATGCCAGTGGATGCAGAGAATTTGCAGGGGTGCGTGAATGCTATTGCAAGGGTTATCCACAACCATCCACATACATACTCGGGCTGCTACGACCTTCCCAGGCCTTTGGCCCCAACTTTAGGACAACTTTATTCAAACAGCATGGTGCAAAGTACCAGTAATGTTGGGGTAAACAATTCTGATGTCACCCGACTCGTGATGTTGTTGTGCTTATTTATGAGAGGTTTGTTTCTGAGGAAGATCTGTCATCAGTCCCTCTGAGAGTCATCAACTTTCCCCTCTGGGCTATCCCTCAAGCCACTCTAGACGCAGGCAAGCTAGTGTGGCAGATTCCTGGATGAACACGGAGGCTGAGCTACGAACCTTGCAGCAGCACTGTTTTGCCACTGTCAGGCCTCCCCGCTAGCTGCTCTCCCATCAGCACAATTAAACCACCCCCAGCAAGCATGGAAGCGGGAGACAGAGACAGATGGAACCCCACGCTGGGAGTCCCGGCACATAGTGCTCTTGGGGCTAGATCCCTCGAGCTGGGTGGGGCTGGGCAGGGCTGCTGGCTCCCAGGGAGGGCCCTTCCAGGGCAGTCCGTGTATGGAGGTGCACGCTGCTGTAAGGTAGCAGTGGCTGGAGGCACATACTGATATTTTGCCAAGGCAGCAGATTGTCTTGGGCAGCCCCGGCCGGCAGCCTAGCTGCAAACTTTTGTGAGGGCCCAGCTGGGGAGGCCAAGCATTCCTTCCCATGTGCCATGCCTCTCCTCCACAGGCACCATGGAAACAATCGCTGCTCTGTTGCAAGTCACGGGGCTCTGGGACTGGGGGAGCACTTGAGCGGCAGGTGAGCGGAGTGTAAATCACGGCCCAGACAGGGGAATATTAGTGGTAATAAAGCAGCCAGAGCGAGGGGAGCCAAAGAGCTTTAATTTTCTAATGAAAGGTCAGCGTGGAGGCCAGCACAGGATTCAAGTGGAAGCCCAAGCAGCTTCCAGGCCCAGTGGTGCCCATTCAAATGCTGACGGGCAGCCCCTGACGGGAAAGAGCAGCCCATAATTTTTCGCCCATAATTTTTCTTCCAAAATTATATCAAAATAGACCTAGCTGGCTAAGTTCATTCCTGTGTCATCCTTAATGACTCGCGGGGCTGGAAGGAGGGGTGGGGGAAGGGCCCATCTGTTCTGGATGGTGGCTTTTAATTAAATCCCTCTTTATTAATATTTGAAAGGCACTTTGAAGTTCTGGAAACAGTGGGAGGTCGAGGGGACAGATCATTCCAGTTCCACTTCCACGTTAACTCACGGAAAGATTCTATAAAAATTTTATCCAGACAAATTTTAAAGACTCCAGGTATTGGGGCTCCCTCCCTTCCGTCCCTGAGCCAGGAGACCTCACTCCCACTGGGAAGAAGTTTCCCCTAGAAAGTTTTCTCGTGTGTGCCTCCGCCCCAGAGAACTCCGCTAAACTCATTCCTCTGCGTACAGCCTGGCAGTCAAGGTCAGAGCAGCCCAGTTTGCATCGAGATACGTACAATTGTTATTGTGCAGAGATCCTGCAGGGTCCCCTGCCTCTGCGCCTGGCTGTTCCAACTGGAGTAGTTGTCACACAGGTCAGAGCAGTTGTATCTAGGCTCCATAGCACATCCTTAGCCCTCACTCGGCCATATTGTCTGGTACTGGGAAAGATGGCAGTCAAACCTGTGACAGGGAGGCCAACCCTGGGCTAAGCGCCTCCAGCAACAAGTGACAAGAATAACCTCGAAGTTCACCTCATTTGCCCCATCTCAAGCACTCAAGAGTGTGTACAGTCCGTGACTCTATTATGCTTAACCACGGTTGCGTGGTGGCAACCTTTCCACAGTCTCTGTCACAGCAGGAACCCGGACTGCACGTGTGCAAATCTCCATTTCCACACTACTATCCAGGCTGATGTCTTCGTGGCTGTCCAGACAGGGCAGAGTAAATCCATTGTATTGCTCCTCTTCACATAACAATCTTACTGATTCATCAGCAGGTGGCAGCCTCCTCCACTGGTCTACGGACACTGCCCCAGCTTCTCCCCACTCCCAAGCTGCTGTAGATTCTCAGTGAAGACACTTCTTTGGGTGAGAGAGAAGGAAGGCTGCCATTAACCCTGTAACTGACAAACAAGAACAGCAATTATCACAGGCTCTAGTTACTGGAGATGGCGCGGGGAGTAAAATACACCCTGTCTGTAGGGTTCCTTAGATTGAAATTAACAGCATTTAACATTTATATCACACCAACACCCAGGAGCCCTGATCAGGATTTATTCTGGGTCCTACACAATCTCATGCTAAGACAGCTCCAAAGGACTGATTATCTATAAGCTAGTAACTCAGTAGTAGCTGCCTTTCAGAGCGAGGTGGAAAAGGGGAACTTAGCAAGGGAGCTCAGTGCAGCACCTGTCTTGAAACACAGCTTAGACAGGAGAGCACCAGCGTGGCAGCAAGAGGAGAATCCCCTGTAAGATTCCCTCCTGCAGCACCAGAGTTAAAAGAACAATCTTGGAGCAGGGATGTTAATTTGCTAGCCAAGCAGTCGATGGAATTTCCATCGACTACTCAACTAGTTGATAAGCACTTCCGCGTTCCGCCTTTGGAATGTACAAGAGCCCCAGATGACTATGGGCTCCAGGCAGAGAATAGGAGGGATCTAGGTGAACTCATGGCCTGTGGCCCCTGAAATAGCAGGGAATTAACATACCCAGTTAATCCTGGCAAGTGATCCACACGTTACAGAGGAAGGGGAAACTTTCCAAGGCCTCTGCTGGGGGGAAATTCCTTCCTGGCCCCTCATATGGCATTTGGTTAGACCCAGAGCATGTGAAGAAAAAAAACAGTCAGGCAAGCACCTGAGTGACAGAATGCTCAGTGCCATCCAGGCCCCTGGCCCATACAGCCAAGTGGCCCATCTCCAGCCATGGCAGTTCTTGATGCTTTTGAGGAGAAATATAGACACCAGTCCCCCGGAATACACTGGGGGTGGAGGGGGGGGGGCTGACAACTGCCAGCTGCAATCCTGGAGCATGTCATTTGGTGACAAAGGCCATAAATTAAAAGTGAGGCCTGGGCTGTTGGGCCCTGTACCCCATCATGCCAAGCAACTCTGTCACACAACTGCACTCATAAATTTGTACAGAGTGGTCTTAAAACCCACTGAGTTGTTTGCTCCCACAACTCCACCCCTCGGTTAGAAACCTTTCAAGTTCCAGGCTAAATTTGTCCATCGCCAGTATACACCCATTTTTTTCTTGTGCCAACATTGTTCAGTAGCTTAAATAGCTCCTCCCTCTTTCTTGTATGTATTTACAGGGAGCAATCATATGCTCTCTCAGCCTTCTTTTTGCTGGTCTAAATAAGCCAAGCTCTTCTAGTGTCTTCTCATAAAATAGGCCTTCATTTTCCAATCACCCTAGTCTCTCTTCTCTGCAACTGTTCCAATTTAAATTCAAACATGGACAACTAGAATCCGACACAGTATTCCAGACAAGGGCTTACCAGCGCCTTGAACAAGTACAGCAGAGGGGGTTCTCGGGCCCTCTGAAGAGGCTCTCTCTGCTCAGACTCAGGGATTTGGGGGTGCCATGCTGATCATCACATGACTCCGCTTGCTCCCATGTGGAAGACAGGGCTCTTCAGGTTTCCTGTGCATAGCTATAATCTATGCAGCATTGTGAACTGTCTACTTTCACTCATGATTTCATTATTTAGCAGCAGAATTATTCCAGGACAAATTTATGTTGGATCCCTCTGTGGTGGCGCTGTTGATTTCTCAGTTGATTCGGCTCATTCCAGAAAATAACTTCATCCATTCAATCAGTAAATAACACAAGCAACAAACACAATCACCTCAATTTAATGTAATTTAGGTACGGTCTTAAAGTGCTTTCTTTAACAGGGAAGAGATTACTCGCATGCTTAAACATAATTTCAGTCTGGAAATAAGGCGTACAATTTAGCACAGATTAAGTAAACCACTGGAACAATTACCCAGGGTTACAGTGGATTCTCCCTCTCTGACAATATTTAAAGATTGAATGTTTTTTCCAAAGATCTGCTGTCGGAGTTATTTTGGGGAAGTTCTCTGGCCTGTGTTATACAGGAGGTCAGACTAGTTGATAACAAATATAACTTAGATAGGGCCACGATAAGGTGGGTGCATAATTGGCTGGATAACCGTAGTCAGAGAGTTGTTGTTAACGGTTCTAAATCCTGCTGGAAAGGGATAACAAGTGGAGTTCCTCAAGGGTCTGTTTTGGGACCCGTACTGTTCAATATCTTCATCAATGATGTAGATATTGGGATAGAGAGTACGCTTATTAAGTTTGAAGATGATACCAAACTGGGTGGGGTTGCAACTTCTTTGGAGGATAGGGACATAATTCAAAATGACCTTAGCAAGTTAGAGAAATGGTCAGAGGTAAACAGGATGAGGTTTAATAAAGAGAAATGAAGAGTGCTCCACTTAGGAAGGAACAATCAGTTCCATACATACAAGATGGGAAGCGACTGTCTAGGAAGGAGCATGGCGGAAAGGGATCTAGGGGTCATAGTGGACCACAAGTTGAATATGAGCCAACAGTGTGATGCTGTTGCAAAAAAAGCAAATATGATTCTAGGTTGTATCAACAGGTGTGTTGTAAGCAAAACTCGTGAAGTCATTCTGCCGCTCTACTCTGCACTAGTTAGGCCTCAGCTGGAGTACTGTGTCCAGTTCTGGGCGCCACATTTCAAGAAAGATGTGGAGAAATTGGAAAGGGTACAGAGAAGAGCGACAAGAATGATTAAAGGTTTAGAGAACATGACCTATGAAGCCAGGCTTCATGAACTGGGCTTGTTTAGTTTGGAAAAAAGAAGATTAAGGGGGGACATGATAGCGGTTTTCAAATATCTAAAAGGGTGTCACAAGGAGGAAGGCGAAAATTTGTTCCTCTTGGTTTCTGAGGACAGGACAAGGAGTAATGGGCTTAAAGTGTAGCAGGGGAGGTTTAGATTGGACATTAGGAAAAAATTCCTAACTGTCAGGGTGGTCAAATATTGGAATAAATTGCCAAGGGAGGTGGTGGAATCTCCCTCTCTGGAGATATTTAAGAACAGGTTAGATAGACACCTGTCAGGGATGGTGTAGACGGAGCTTGATCCTGCCTTGAGGGCGGGGGGCTGGACTCGATGACCTCTCGAGGTCCCTTCCAGTCCTATTATTCTATGATTCTATGATTCTATGAACAGTGACTCTTCTGGCCATGTAACCTATGGATATACTTAAGTGCTTCACTGAATGGGGGGAGGTCTAAGAGACAGTCTAGTTATCAACAATTCATTGGTCTATTTATTAAGTAGGATTAAAAGTCCAACATCTCTACACTTTACTGACTGCAGCACTCCGCCTGCCAGGTATCATATCGTGTCACTGTGCAGTGGCTCTTCTCATCACCTTACTTTCTGTTCCCTCTTTAATTCTTTGTTGTGGGTTGGAACAGCCCTCGTTACCATTTTAGACATGAAGTCATACTTCTATTCAAGTATCCTTATTCAATTAGCAAGGTCAACATTTTTAATTGGCTTCTGCTACACAACCAGAAGTGTGTCAAGTGTAATTAGCAACTGTAGAAGATGGACTGAAAGGAGGCAGATTATAATTTATTTGCTCATAACAAAAAAGTATGGGAGTGTAAAATTCAGACTTTTCCGCTGTTTAACAGCTGGGTGTCTTCACTACTATACTGGCTATCCTCACTACAAGTTTTTTGGAACATATCTTGGACTTAGACTTATAGAGAAACAACTTAAAGCAGGGCATTTTTTTCCTGCAGCCGACTTCCATTTGCACAAATTGGGGGTGAGCTTTTTGCGTGAGTTAAGAGCAGGGAATGGGAGAACTTAACACATCAGCTCTTACAAGCATCAATGACTTTTGTGCAGAACGGATGTACACTGAGGTGATTTATAGTGGGGACACCCTGTACCCCAGATGCAAATCTGGTACATTGGCACATAGAGGGACTTTGCTTCACCACATTCCTTTGTTTCCTCCATTACATTTCTAGCTTCCCAATACAAAAATGAATTCCCTTTGGTCAGAAATATGGCCAGCTCTTGGGATCCTTCCTCAGGCAAAACTCTTACGGATTTCAGTATGTGAGGAAGAACTGATGAAAACTGAGAGTCTCATAATTTGACTCACAATTATTAAGTTTGATTTTAGATGATCAAGGTTCATGTTGACATAGAACCTAAGGGCAAATTCTCGGCTAGTGTCACTGGTGTACATCCTGATTTACATCATCTGAGAATCTGGATTGCAAGCAGCTTAAAACATCTACACACAATTATCTGTACTAGTGAAGTATCCATCCCAGCATGGAACTGAGCCCCAACCTCTGCATCCAAAAGGCAGGAGGGCTGCGTCTTGCATGAAAAGAAAAGGCACTTGTTTCAGCAGTTGTCCTCTTTGATGCTACAATTAAAAGTCTTATGCACAAAACAACTGTACATGTGACACAGGACTTTTTCCCCCTTCTGAGAACTCCCACGCGAATACCAACACAATTCTTCTCTTTCAAGCCCCTAAGTCTCAACTGAACTCTGACAAACACATTGCTAGAACCAATCTGGCTCAGCGGCGGGTTAGTGTTGTTTAAAAGGTATTAGAAGAATGTTTAGCTTTTATGAAATGCCCATGAGTTTCTGCATGCTTTAATCTCACGTATAACATCTGTACCCCATGGCATAAGTAAGAGATCCCTCTGTAACTACCCCACCAGACAGGAGAGACGCATTAACAAGCGTGAAATATCAGTTTCCAACGGGAAATGTTACCCATCCTCACCAGAGGAATCATTGTGAAACATCACAAGACAACAGATTTTGTTGATTGCTTTCCCCCCTCCTCCCCCCAAACACACCTCATGAAAAGAAAGGAGCAAGTGCATTGCTCTCAATAGCTGAATTGGCAACTCAAAGCAGAAGAGGGCAAAGAATAATAAGCCCTGACAAGGAGGAACTGTATCTTCATGCCTCTTCAACTCAGTGGGGCCAGGATTGCTAACCATATGCAAAAGATGCCCAGTGCTTGGCCTGGATTAGCTCTAAACTACAGAGATCTTGCTGTTTATATAGAATTTTCTACAGGTTCAACCTCTCAAATCTGGGGCTCTCTGGTCCGGCAACATCCATGGTCCAGCAGAACCACAGATGTTGCTGGACCAAAGAGCCTGGTGCAGGGCCACTGGCAGATGGGGATTCTTGGGGCTGGACATTCCCAGCGGGGCCGGTGGCGGCAAGGAGCAGCAGGCTGGCAGCAAGGGGCCTCCTCTGGTCCGGCAAAAATCCACATTTGGGACAAGGTTGGCTTGGATTTAATCTAACCAGGGCACAGAGTGCCAGAACCCAAAGGGATGGTATCAGGACCAAGAGAACTAGAGTTAGGCACACCCATGGTGAACAATGCATGTATTAGTAGCCACAATTGTGCTTGGGCATTCTCCCATTCTGTATGCGGATTTCTCCCTGCCCACGGGAAGATCACTGGAGCCATGCAGACGGAGCCAGAGAGAGCGGGCAGAGGGCTCTGGAACCACTGCAAACACAGGACTGGATGGCACTGGTCCCTACCAGGTCTCCCAGACACCAGAAGACAGGAGCCATGGGGAAGTGGAGCACAGCAGAGAGTGCGCATTCCCCCAGCACACTCCACTTCCCGCTGGCTCCTGCCACCAGGGGGAGTGCAGGGGAGGGAACCACTGATGCCACCCTGCATCAGCTCCCCTCCCCGCAGTGATCCCTGAAGTAGCATCCTCAGGGAACGTGGTGCTGTGGTGGGGAGAGGCTGGGGCAGTGGCAGGAAGGGGCAGAGCTTGGGGCTGGCAATGGACAGGCCTCCCCTCCCAGCCCACCTGGATTCCTGCATCTGATTGTGCAATCACTCCAGCCAGGGATGGTCCATGGACTGGGAATTTGAGACCCCTGATCAAAACGATCCCTTAAAATCCATGTTGCTAAAAGAGAGCTTCAGGTTAAAAAAAAAAAAAAAAATGTGCTGAAACGCAGTTCTAGCAAGAGCGCTGCTTCCGGGAACAGCATGGAGAGCTGGCAGGGAATCAGAGCCTTTGCCCAGGAAGCAAAGTTCAAAGCCGGCTTCATGTTCCAGAGCCCTGCTGCCCCTTTCACAGGGGATTCTTCAAACTTTCCAAGGTCTTTGCCTCTCAAAAACACTTTCACACTATTATGCAAATGGACTCGGTGCTGTTTCCAGAAAAGCTGCTCACCAAAGAAAATTAGCACTCATTAGTATGCACTACTGTGCTGATGTGAATATTGCCAAAAGGTAATAGCCATCTCATTTGCTCTCCCTGCTCTAATTAGAGCTTGTGGAAATCACATCGCTTCCTTTCACAGAAGCCCGGGAAAGCAAGGCCCATCAATCAAGCCTCAGAAAGCAGCCAAGCAAAGGGGAAACGATGACTTCTTTAAAGGCCCAATGATAAATCCAACATGGCAGCTCCCAGCAGCAGAACTCTATTTGACAGTGGTGCTGGAATGGAGCTGGGTGGATTGGGAGGGGGAAGACCAGGGGGCTATTGCCCTCCTACTTTTAAAAAGTGGGCAGAACTGACCTACTCCCCTTCCCCTAGAGGTCCCCCCCACCCATCCCCAGCAAGGCCAGCTGCTGGTAGAGGCCAGCAAGGAAGCCCAGGCATTTCTGGGAGCCATGCAGACCTTCCACTTGCCTGCAGTGCAGCGGAACCAAAGGGCAGCCCTCAGCCTGTCCCCCCACTCCCCAGGCTCACTACCTGGCCCAGGGCAGCTGGAGATGGAGAGTCCATTGGATGGAAGAGACGGGGGGAGGAGGCTGAGGGAGCAGGGGCACTAAGCCCCTGACCCACCTACTTTTGGGAAGGCTCTGCTGCCTTTCCTATGCAATGGCCTATGTTGCAATGCAGATCACCTCACTCCCCTGGACTAGTTAGGGCTGGTGCACTGACATTTGCAAGTTGAGTGCTGCACTCGGCTCAAGTCAGCGCTCAGACAAAAAGCAGGGCTGTGTCACTTCATCCACAGGATGCCTCAGAGTGTGGCAGGAAGTGGCGGTGGTGATGGGGCAGGTGGCGCCGTCCCTCCAAGTCAGTGCTGAAC